GGGGGGGGGGGGGGGGGGGGGGGGGGGGGGGGGGGGAGAGGAGTGGGCGCCCCATGCAGCCCCACCCACCTTCCCATTCCCTTTAGTCCCCCTCCTGGTTCCCTTCTTCCTCATCCTTTCCCATTTGGCGTCATTTGGGTGCTTGATTGGCAAATTACCACTTCAGTCCACCTCGAAGCACTACACCAACGCCCCTTTCTCCCTTTTTCCTAAAAAGACATGAGACAATGCAACAGAATCGAGCAATGCCTTTGTATATTTAAACGAGTCGACTAAAAGCTAAAAACTCATTCAAATACAAAGAGCAATGGCATGGGATTACATTTGGCTTCCTTCCCTTTGCATATTCCAATAGAAAATTAAAATTCAAGTACTGACCATATTAACAAGCACAAATTAAAGTAAAATTAGCACCTTCGAAATAAAGGTTTCGTTTGTATTTACCAGTCAAGCCAATCCCGCAATTCTGAGGATTATGGCTGCGGTCTGGCTGCATACAATTTGTACTTACCTGAGCCGATGGGAACTGTGGCACGGTGAAATTGATAAATTTCTTCCGACAAGGTGGCGTTTACACGGCGCGGTTTCTTTATAGTTTTCCACGGACCTCGATGACTTGGATACAAGCATGTGTTGCTCTTTCTGCCAGCCCAGTCTGTAGTTAATTTTTTTCTATGTCTCGGGCATACTGTCATCAATATTTTCCCGTTTTCGGTTGCAACAAAGTATCCAGCTCTATTCAGGATTAGGTCAACCTCATTAACGTTTTCGTCTCCGGTTTCGCGCTGTTGCCCTGAGCTCACTCCCACACTTAGTAGATGTGCAGTAATGTCTTGCTTACATGCCAACAGGGGTACAATCTGCGACCCCGTGCGCTCCAAACTACAGGCAGAATCAGGAGAACAGAACGAACAAGTTAAAGTAACATTCATATTGCAAACAGCACCATCAGCTGAATTGGATCAGTGAAATAAATTGACTACAGCTGTCTCCAGGTAATCAGATAAAGAATGGAACTGTACTTCTACCAAATATCAGAACGGCTGAATATTTCAAAAAGTTTGACAAAATGCTCCGGTGAATTATACTATGCTATGCCACTGTACTAATCTGAAAAAGTAATGTGTTGCTCTTAGTCATAAACACCTGCATACGTCGCTAGTTGATCAAGGGTAAAATATTTCCGGAGAAGACAACAATTATGCAAATTAGGAAATTAGGTTAAAGTCGTGAGAAAGCTCACGCGACAGGATTTAAACTTGCCAAATGAGAGTTTGCGTATCTGGAAATAAACTGCCGCACTTTAGAGAAAACCACCTTTGAAAATTGCCAAAATTCCTCTTACTTACGATAGCCACGAAGTGATGATATTTGGAACCACTCCAAAGTAAGTTATTTTTAACCAAATTCGTTTATATTGGAGACATGAGCTGTTTATAGGCTGGGAAGTATGTACAGTTCGTATAAATGAATAAGACTAATGCAAAGTAAGTAAATTTAGTCGTGGACGTTTACCCAAATTTCCCGCCTCATGTGGCCAAAATAGCACCAAAAACTAGGGGGGTGGTCAAAATTCTAAGAAATTTATTTTATTTTACTAAAAATACCACCGGTCGTTATCTTACCTG